TTGGAATTTAGAAAAATATTTTGAAGAAATGGCGAAAATTTAGGGTATCCGGAAAAAGTTTTTGACTTGACGGAAAATTTTGGTATGTCCGGAAAAAATTTTGGACCCCTAAAATGGTACACTGACCGAAATTTTTTTGGCGACGGGGGGGTGGGGGTGAAAGTGAAAAAAAAATTTTCAGTAGAGGTGCCCTTGGTGTGCGTCCCCCCCCCCTTTGCCCTATTATCGTTCCGGCTTCCCTGATCATACTCCATTTGAAATGGAGATTACCTGTGGAGGTACAATAATGACACAAAATTTCCCAGAGTTTATCAAGGTTCTAACAAATTCAATCGAAATACTCTCAAAATCTCCATTGTGTTCGGCGCTAAAGGATCTGCGCGTATCCGACGAGGTCCTACAAAATGTTATTGTACTCATCATCAAGTTGTTTACGAGAAGGATCTAGGAAAATAAAATTTCAACGAATTAACATCACCTTAACGATACCCCAATGATAATGCATGCATAGATTCAAAACGTGGATATACAAGAAAGGCAATATTACATGAGACTTCTCTGCTTTCCTTATAGATGGTTCATACTAGTTGCCAACTGCGATGTTGGCTGGTTAGCATGGAATAGCCTGCGTATAGCAGCCGGCCTTAGTGTGTGGGGGTGGGGAGGACTTGCGGGTGTGAAAATGAAACCGGGAGAACGGGTGGGCAAAAAAAAGTGGGAAGGCGAGAAAAACCGCCTGCTCATTTTCCATACATTTTTCACTGCCGCTAATTATAAAAGCCAGATTCAAAATTGAGATGAAATCGACATCTGTTGCATTACCAGGTTGTCATAATAAGTTCATTCGTATTTAATACTAGGCTATCGTATTACGCACTTTACTATGAAGCCTCAGTCAAACGAGGATGAGAGTTGACGAGAGTTGGCAGCATTGTTACAGAGAACATTTTAAGCTCTAGATTAACAAAATTAAGGTTCGAGTAAAGAACGCATTAATGACAGCTAACCAAGGTCACGTGACTGCCAACCCTCATGCACTCTCATCCTCGTTTGATCCAGGTTTAAAACTACGCTTGTCTACAATGAATGAGTGAGCCATAAAATCCAAAGAAAGCTGTACTAAACGTATACATGTAGCTCTGAGAGTGTTGATGACTTTTGCAGGCTGTGTAAGTGTTCAAGTTTTACTTCTCGTTGACACTTGGTATGATAATCAAGCATGTCAATTCGTTTTACGTAAAATTCGTTTCATTTTCCCACATGGCAACCTTCACCGGTACGGGTCAACATACGGTTTAATTACATTTAGTTCTGATCTGTCCATACCTGACATCAGCAACCATGAACAGTGTTTCTACCTTATACCTCACCTGGCGCATGGTTCTCTCCCTATTCTTTAACATTAATATATTCTGTACCGTGATTTTACAACATGGCCGTTTTAAAGTTTGGATCATTGAAATAGATATAAATTTCTCAAATTCATTAATTCATAAGCAATTCAACCAATGATAATCACCTATTTGATCACAAGATGCCATTTGGATAACCCGGTGAAACTTGATGAAAGTCACTAGTGTTTTCATCAAATATCTTAATTACGCATGCAAAATTACTTCAATAGAATTCCTAATTACGTTATGCTTAGTTAAGAATTCTATTCAAATTAG